GGCACTTTTTGACATACGACCCATATTTGTGACGTCATCGTTGTTCGAGATATGACGTCATCGACAATTTTTTTAAATAGCAACCCCCAATTTTGACCATGCCATTTGAAAGAGCGTGTCATTCTACATACACAGATCATGAAAAATTATGGTGTTACATAACAAAAATTTCAAGAAAATAATGTTTGAAGATTTTAAAATTTAATTTTCACAATACTGAAAATGATAATGATTATGTAAAAATCGACTAAATGGTGCACTTCCCCATTATGCAACACCTGTCCGTGCTTATTTAGATGAGCTGTTCCCGAATCGTTGGATAGGGAGAAGGGGGCCGATTGAGTGGCCAGCCAGATCGCCTGATTTGACACCCCTAGATTATTTCTTGTGGGGATACTTAAAAAGCAAAGTATACGTTACTAGACCGGTTAATTTAGAAGATTTAAAAGCATGAATTCGTCACGAGATACATCGTATTGAAGTTATTGATAATGTCCAAAAAGAATTTATTAATCATCTTGGCTACTGTCAGGCAGCCAACGGTGCACAATTTGAATATTTAATTTAGTCGATTTTTACATAATCATTATCATTTTCAGTATTGTGAAAATTAAATTTTAAAATCTTCAAACAGTATTTTCTTGAAATTTTTGTTATGTAACACCATAATTTTTCATAATGCGTATGTAGAATGACACGCTCTTTCAAATGGCATGGTCAAAATCGGGGGTTGCTATTTAAAAAAATTGTCGATGACGTCATTATCTCGAACAACGATGACGTCACAAATATGGGTCGTATGTCAAAAAATGCCTTTTTTAAAAACAAAATCGACGTGCCAGGGGATTTTTTCGAAAACTTCTCAATTTATGAATTTATTCGTTACTTTTCGAAAGCACTGTATAATAACTCTGAAACTGTGAAAGATACGTAAAAAATGATAGGCAACGAAAAAGCTTCGTTTCAACAAATATTTTGCTTTTTTTTATTCCTATAGCATAAAAAATAAAGGAGATATCGTCGCTTGAAGTATTCATTTTAGTGAAAAAACGATCTCTCGGAAAGGATCAAAGGGCTCGATTCTTTCCCTTTAAAAAACGAAAGACTAAACGTTTTATATGCAAACGATCTTACAGCTCTTGCATTTATCTTTAAAATGCTTTTTTGTAGGATACTATTATTAACCGATCTATCTATCTATCTATCTATATTATACAAATAAAATAAGAAAAAAATTTTTGTGTAATTATTTATATGCAAATTTATTTAAAAATCGATTATAATAAAAATAGTTTACATTATTATTTGTAAAAGAGTTTATAAGAGTTGAAAATGGCAAAAGTAAAATATTCTTTCATAAACAATATAAGGGAATTTTTTATTTTAAATTATTGCACAATTATAGCATTCCAAGATTTAAAACGCAAATTTGTATCATTTGTTTAGCACAGGGGTGATTTATAAGGGTTGAAAAGTGTTATGAGATACAAATTCTTTCATAAGCAATGAGGGGATCTTTATTTTAAATAATTGCACGATTTAATCATTCCAAATCTATAAGAAGTATTTTTTTATCATTATTTTTTGCATAGGGGTAGTTTTTAAGAGTTAAATAAAGGGCCGAAAAGATCAAATATATAATAAAACATGTTCGAGAACATTATTTAATCTTTGTGCTCGAACAAGATTTTTATCAATAAAATGCTTAAAACCTAATTTTTTATTTTTTTTTCACTTTTTTACTCCTAAAAAGTAAAAAGCGTCAATCGGGCTATGTCACTTTTGAACTTGAGCCTTATTCTAAATTTTCATGCAAATCCATGCAGTTTCAAAGAATTCGGAGGTTACAGCTGACTTTCAGCTTCAATGACTGTACTATTTTAATTATGTCCCCTATGAATTTATTAATCTTTTTGTATTAGGCGGTGGTTTTTCAATTTTATTTGAAAAAATTAAATATATCAAAAACGGTTAACTTTAAGAATAAGAAACCTTATAATGAAAGTTCACCTAAAAATTGACGTAGATTCCAAAATTGCAATAGTATACAGTGTGTTCCATTTAAAACAACGAAGATGAGTCAACTTCCGGTATAACCGGAAGCGTTAGGTGGACGCCATTATTTTAGTTGAGAAGGGCATACCCGAAAACAGTATTGCCCAAATTGTCAAAGTTGAAATCGAAGTAGTCTCTGAAATATGTCTAATGTCTCGCCACCGTGGGATACCCTGTATGTACTCATGTTGTAAGCAGAATAGTAACTTAGTAACTTTGTCACCCTGCATCTAAAGTCAGTTTAGTTCGATCGTAATATTTTGGTCTCTAGCATCTCCAATTTCGAGATATTCTAACCTTTCGAAGGCACTTTTTACAAGAATCTAGAATGCTTCGTACGTTAAACTACTGTGTGTTTCTCCTTTCCAGGGGAAAGATTCGGCATCATGCAGACCAAACTGGGACTAGCCAAGATACTGAGGAACTTCAGACTGACACTGAACAAGAAAACAAAGGTTCCATTGGCATATTCGTTGGTTAGCGTCGTTCCAAGCGTTAAAGGTGGCATGTGGCTGAATCTTGAAAAACTGTGACATGTATTGTACTCATGAAGCCTGAAATATTAACAGTGAATTGTTTTTTATGTTACTCAATCATTTTGTAAGACGTTTTCCTTTTCCTATTGTCTTAAATATAAATATGGACCTAATTCCTAGTATTGTTATTATAACGAGCGTTCAAATAAAAACGTGGTCAAGTTGGTTCTGAAAATTTGGACGTAGGGCGTAGCGTATAGCAAATGAACTTAAAAGTCATCTGTCAAAGCGCTATATCGCCGCTATCAATTTGAATATTTTCGTTTTAAAAAGCGTTTAAAATGGAAATGCGAATATGGAAGTATTCTATTGAGGAATGTTTCATAGAATTTCAAAATCAATTTCCCGGCGTTGTCGAGTACAAAATTTTTCAAAGTGCAGTTCAGCGTTGTGTTAATGTTTTTCGTGAAACGGGCAGTGTAACAAGAAAAGAAGGAAGCGGCCGACCTAAAAAGCGGACTGAAGAATTAAAAGAAAATGTCCAACAAATAATGGAAAATGCGCCAAGAACTTCTGTACGTGTTTTATCACAAATGGTGGGAGTATCAGTCGGTACCTGCTACACAGTGTTAAAAAAAGATTTGCGTTTGTTCTCCTATCGTTTAACTTGTCAGCAAGAACTTCATGAAGTTGATTTTCCGCGACGGGCTGTATTTTGTGAATGGTTTTTAAACAACTACGGTGAACTTCATAATATCACCTTTTTTTCTGATGAAGCCTGGTTTCATTTAAGTGGTTACGTAAACTCACAGAATATGAGAATGTGGTCTTCTGAAAAACCAGATAACTTTTTTGTCGAGGGCCCTCTACAAGCACAAAAAATTGGAGTTTGGTGTGCTCTCAATCGAAGGAGGATTTACGGACCTATTTTTTTTAATGGTACTCTTACTGCGCAAAGGTATAGAGAAGAAATTATCGCTCCTTTTGTTAACCAGCTGGAAGAAAACGAAATTACAAACTTTTACTTTCAACAAGATGGCGCAAGGGCACATACGGCAGGCGAAACGATGAATATGTGGAGGGAAGTTTTCCAAAATCGACTAATAAGTCTCAATGCTGAACATGAATTTCCACCGAGGTCATGTGATATTACGCCGTGTAATTTCTTTTTGTGGCCTTACCTTAAAACACTATTTTTGAACTGCCTATTCCTGATTTAAACCATCTACAGGCTCGACTTATAGGCAAGATTCGTGAAATTAACAATACCCCGAACATCTTTGAAAATGTCTTTAATTCTTTGAGGAACAGGTGTGAAAAGTGCTTGGAACAAGGAGGGGGACACTTTCAGCAGCTGCTTTAATTTATTGTTATAACAAGGAGGACACTTTCCGCAGCTCCTTTAATTGTTTGTTATTGTTATCACGATTATTCTTTAAAATAAAGTTATATAGTCATTAACGTTATTGAAACTGACAGCTGCTATACAGCTCGTTGAGAAATGAGGTTAAGTTGGTCGCTTTAAGCTACTCCCTACGTCCAATGTATCAGAGCCAACTTCGACCACGTTTTTATTTGAACGCTCGTTATTTTCGGTGTGGCCTTCATGAAAAAGTTACTCACATCCTTTGAATAGACTACAAGCCCATCGGAAATCTTCAAGGCGTCATTTGACCCAGCATGAATTACTTATAAATCAATACTACCACATACAACAATAACTTTAGAAACTATGCCGTCAATTCTTGTTGGTACAGGAGAGTACACAGGTAAGCTAAACATGTCCACCAACGAGGGAGGTTTTCGGTAAAACATTTTTGTACGGCATTTCTAAAGTACATAGGTTATAAAAAAAAATAATTTCGATCTAATGCCGTACAAAAATAGCAATACCGGAAGCCAGAAATTTTTGATTTTCTGAGAATTTTGGCTCGGCTTTTGGTGATTTACTACATTTATACGGCAGGTTTCGGATTGATACGTAGATAACTTTTTTTGTGACGCCGTACGTACCTGCTGATACAGGGGTTAGAAATGGGCGCAACCCTCTATTTTAGCACCCATTGTTTCAAGTCATTGAAAAATGTACGGCATCGATTCCACATGATTATTTAACTCTCCAAATAATAATTCTTAGCAACTATGCCGTCTGAAAATTATGGCTAATGCAAAAGTTTATAAACAGTTACTTGCACCTTGGAATAGTTTTATTTTTTTTTTTTTTCGATAAAATCATTAATTCCTGTACGGCAACCACTTTTTTGATAAAATATAACCTAAAACTAGCGTACTAAATCATGGCCGGTTATAATTAATGGTACGAATTGCTATTGCTATTGACTATGTACTTTAGATAGGAACTACAACGTAACATAAATTTTATTGTTTGATATGTTCAATTGACCCTAAAAAATAATAAAACCGCGGAGTGCACCTTTTAAAGGGGTGCATTTTTGAGAATGAAGTAAAAAGGTGGTATTTTAAGTTTTTTGAGTTTTACTCGAAAACTATGAATTTTTTCTAATTAATTGTCAACAGAAAAGTTGTAGCAAATTGAATTTCCAATCGAAATGAGACCTTTTGGAGTCAAAAAAATATTTTTAACAAAAATATACCCAAAAAACGAGTAATAATTTGAAAACTATTTTTCTTAGAAACTTCAAATTTGGTACACATATTTTTTTATATAAGGGCAATGTAAAATATAAAATTTGGTGAGAATACATCTACAGGATGTTCTCTTTCTAGTGCCTGTGCGCCACTGCCTATCCCGTAACTTTTTTGTATGTACGCCAATGACGACAGAATTTATATTTTTAAAAATATGCACTATTTTAGAAGATTTTTTGCCTCGTACGAAATTTTGATATCGTTTATGGATTTCGAGTAAAATTGTAATTTTTTACACATTAAATAATATAAAATCAGTTTAAGATAAATAGAACATTCTAGTACGAGGTGCCATATAACAGAGAAACAAATTCATAACAATAATTCAAAGGTTCTGTGTCAAGCTAGTGTGATTTAATTTTAACTTACTTTGTTTTTTATTGCAGTTTATACTTTTGCCGAACAAACTGATTGTTAGTAGTTTTGGGGTATTGTGAAGGAAATTGTTGTGCTACTGTTCGAACATATGCTGAAAGATTTCCTAATCGAAGAACTCCAAATTACAAAACATTTGCTAATGCGCAGAACGCCTTCGGGAACCAGGACGTTTTTTACCTGTAACATTAAATCGTGGATAATGTATGGCCGGAATTATTCAGCTGTAGGAACAAATTTTGGAAAGGGTCGAAGAAATTCCTCAAGTAAATAAAAGGCGTTTAGCAGCAGAGGTTGACTTTCAAAAAGTTCCTTTAATAGAGTATTGAAAGACTAGTTATTACAGGTTACTGGTATTACAGGGTACAGGTAAGTATTACAGGTTATTAAAGGTCTAACAGGTGGATAGGTAGAAGAAATAATGTCCCTTTAAAATGGCCACCTCGATCCCCGGATCTAAACCCATGTAATTATTTCATTTGTGGAGCGTTGAGGACCACATACAATTAAAATAACTTCAGTAAATACTGAAAACGAATATGGGAAAGAATACAACATGAAATTAACGTTATGATAGGTAATGCACAACTATTGGATAATTTCTAATTTTCGAAGAACTAATGTTTGCGTTTAAGAACAAGAAAGTAACTTTGAGCATTTACTGTAATATTATTTTAATGTGATTACAAACATCAGTTTATTTAAAATGTTAATGTTACTTTCTTACATTATTAGTTGATGTTTATTTAAAAGATTAGTGTTGATTTTTATTTTATTGATTGATAATACTAATACCAAAAATGTGTAGTTATTTTTTTTAATGTGACGTATTTTCATTATTATTCCCTGCTTTGAGGCTACAGTTATAAATTATTTTTTATAATGTATAAAAAATTTTACTCGAAATCCATAAACGATATCGAAATTTTGTAAGAACAAAAAAATCTTCTAAAATAGTGTTTATTTTTAAAAATATAAATTCTGTCGTCATTGGCATACACACAAAAAAGTTACGGGATAGTCAGTGGCGCACAGGCACTAGAAATAGAACATCCTGTATATGTATTCTCTCCAAATTCTATATTTACCTTGCCCTTATATAAAAAAATAAGTGTACCAAATTTGAAGTTTCAAAGAAAAATAGTTTTCAAATTATTTGAAAAAAATAGGTTATCTATGCTATATTTAGAAGGCTATATCTCAGTAGGCGTGCACTTTTGTATATGTATAGGTAAGTTAGGCTAAATAGTCTTATTTTCATCCAAGGAACCTGTGGTCAAGCGTTGTCCATTTTTTAAAGGGACATCCTTTATAATGAAAATTGCAGTGCCGTACATATTTGTTGGAACATTTATGCAAAAATTGTGACGAAGTCATTGGCATACAATATATGTTTAAAATTAGTAAAAATAATTTAAAAGTCCATTTGTTACAAAAACAACTTTAAGATTGTCGGTTATAAACATGAATAAAACCACATCAAAATTTGTACGCCGAAAAGAAAAAAGAGACAAAGAAAGAACATGTTTCGATGGCCAGCTAGAATCTCGAAGCGGTAATGTTAATTTTAAAATAAAAATAATTCCAAATTTATTAAAAAATATTCGAATGCAGATTTTTGTATTGATTTTTTAATAATTTATTGGATTTTGAAAAAATCTTACTTTTTTACTTGTGAAAAAAATAAAACACTTCTATAAAATTAATAATTTTTATATCGCCCTATGGTTTTTTTAACGGCATACTACTAAAAAATTATTTTACATCTTAAATAAATAAAAATCACAGACTGTCAAAGTTGACGGCCGATTGTTAAACAAATTAGGTTGGTAGCGGCAAAAAAAAATACTGTCATAACCGGCAACCCGAGTACTTTCCCAGGTAAAAATATTTTATTTGTGGAAGTATGTTAAGTGCATAAGAAATATTGTCGAAAGTCAGTGGGTCGCTTGATTTTCGGCGAGCCGTGGCGCGGCGGAAGGGTGGGGGAAGCGAACGACAGCGAGTCCGAA